CCTAACCCTAACCCTAACCTGAAACCCTAACCCTAACCCTAACCCTAAACCCTAACCCCTAATCCTAACCCTAATCCTAACTCTATCCGTAATCCTAACCGTAACGCTAACCCTAACTCTAAGCCTAAACCTAACCCTTCCTAGCTCCAAACCTAACCCCAACGCTAACCCTAACCCTAATCCTAACCCTAATTCTAAAACCCAATCCTAACCCTAACACTTACCCTACACCTAAACCTATTCCCAGCTAACCCTAACCCTTGCTAACCCTAAACCTAACCCTAACTCTAACCCGAAACCCTTACCCTAACCCTTACACTAACCCTAACCCTAACCTAACCCTTGCTAACCCTAACCCAAACCCTTTCCCTAAACCTAACCCTAACCCTTTCAAACCCTACCACTACCCCTAACCCTAACCGTACCCATAATACTAAACCCTAAATGTAACACTAACCCTAAGACTTACCCTAACCCTAAAGCTAAACCTCTACATTGCTAACCCTAACCCGTGCTAACCATAACCCTAACCCTAACTCTAACCCTAAACCTAACCCTACCCCTAACCCTAACATTAACCCTAACCCTAACGCTAACCCTAACCGTAAACCCTAACCCCCAAACCCTAACCCTAACCCTTAACCGTAACCCTAAACCCTACCCCTGACCCTACCCCTTACCCTAACCCTAACCGTAACCCTATCCCTAGTAGCTTGCAGTCTCTTTTTTATGGTTAGGGTTAGGGAACTGGCTTTGTGCATAGCTTGCAGTCTCTTTCTTAACGTTAGGTTCAGGGAACAGGGTTAGCGCACAGCTTGCAGTCTCTTTTTTAGGGTTAGATTTAGGGAACAGGCTTTGGGCATAGCTTGCAGTTAGTGTGTGGACCAATCAGTGCTGACTCCGCCCAGTAGGCAGAGCCAGTGATGCAGACGAATCAGCGCTGACTCCGTCTTTTTGTCTCTGCCCAGTGGGCGGGGCCAGTGCTCTATATAAGCAGAGTACATACCAGACGGCAGTGGGTATTCTGTCAGACACGCAACAGAACAGCAACAGCAAAAGCAGAAACCCAAGAAAAAAAGCAAAAGATTCTGAGAGCAGTGGGCAGTGAATCAGGCTTATAGCCTGAGAGGAGCTTACTGGGCACCGGTGCGAATCTGGATTGGGATAAAACCGTGATTGTTAGATCACGCATTGAGACAGATTCAGCCTAAACCTAAGCCTAACCCTAACCCTAACCCTAACTCTAACCCTAACACTAAGCTTTACCCTAAACATATTCCTTGCATATCCTAACCCTTGCTAACCCTAAACCTAACTCTAACCATTAACATAACCCTAACCCTAACACTAACCTTAACCCTAAACCCCAAACCTAACACTAACACTAACCCTAACCCTACCCCTAACCCTAACACTAACCCTGGTTAACCCTAACCCTTGCTAACCCTAACCCGAAACCCTAACCCTAACCCTTGCCAACCCTAACCCTAACCCTAACCCTTGCTAAATCTAGCTCTAATCCTAACCCTAAATCAAACTGTAACCCTAACTCTAACCCTAACCATACCACTAACTCTAAATCTAACCCTAACCATTACCCTACACCTTAACCCAAACCCTAACACTAACTCTAACACGTTCCCTAACCCTAACCCTAAACCTATCCCTTACTAACCCTTACCCTTGCTAACCCTAACCCTAAACCTAACTCTAACCCTAACCCTAACCCTAACCCAAACCCTAACCCTAACCCTAACCCTTACCCTAAACCCTAAACCCTAACCCTAACACTAAACCTAACAATAACACTAACCCTAACCCTAATCCAAACCCTAACCCTAATCCTAACCCTAACCCTAACATTAACCCTAAAACTAACCATAACCCTAACACTAACCCGTAACCTTGTTAACCCTAAGCCTTGCTAACCCGAATCCTAACCCTAACCCTAACCCTAGTCCTAATGCTAACCCTAAACCCTAACACTAGCCCAAACCCTAACCCTAACCGTAACCCTAAACCTATCCCTTGCAAATCCTAACCCTTGACAACCCTAACCCTAACCGTAATGCTAACGCTAACCTGTGCTAAACCTATCCCTAACCCTAACCCTAACCCAAACCATTACCCTAAACCTTAACCCAAACCCTAACACTAACCCTAACACGTACCCTAACCCTAACTCTAAACCTATCCCTTACTAACCCTAACCCTTGCTAACCCTAACCCTAACCCTAACCCTAACCCTAACCCTAACTCTAACCATTACCCTAAACCTAACCTTAACCCTAACCATTACCCTAAACCTTAACCCAAACCCTAACACTAACCCTAACACGTTCCCTAACCCTAACCCTAACCTATCCCTTACTAACCCTAACGCTTGCTAACCCTAACCCTAACCCTAACACTAACCCTAACCCTAACCCTAACCCTAAGCCTAACCCTAAACCTTGCTAATCCTAACCCTAACACGAACCTTAACTCTAAGCCTAACTTTAACCCTAACATTAACCCTAACCCTAACCTTAACACTAACCCTTATCCTAAACCTATCCCTTGCTTATCCTAACCCTTGCTAACCCTAACCCTAGCTCTAACCATTACCCTAACTCTAACCCTACCTCTAACCCTAAACCCCAAACCTAACCCTAACACTAACCCTAACCCTAACCCTATCCCTTACTAACCCTAACTCTTGCTAACCCTAACCCTAAACCCAAACCCTAACCCTAACCCTAACCCTTGCCAACACTTACCCTAACCCTAACCCTTGCTAAACCTAACCCTAACCCTAACCCTAACTCTAAACCTAACCCTAACCATTACGCTACACCTTAACCCAAACCCTAACCCTACCCCTAACATGTTCCCTAACCGTAACCCTAAAACTATCCCTTACTGACCCTAACTCTTGCTAACCCTAACCCTAACCCTAACACTAACCCGAACCCTAGTAGCTTGCAGTCTCTTTTTTAAGGTTAGGGTTAGGGAACAGGGTTTGCACATAGTTTGCAGTCTCTTTTTTATGGTTAAGGTTAGGGAAAAGGGTTTACGCATGGTTTGCAGTCTCCCTTTTAAGGTTAGGGTTATGGAACAGGCTTTGGGCATAGTTTGCAGTTAGTGTGTGGACCAATCAGCGCTGATTCTGTCCAGTAAACGCAACCACTGACACAGACCAACCAGTGCTGACTCCGTCTTTTTGACTCCACCCAGTGGGCGGGGCCAGTGCTCTATATAAGCAGAGTACATATTGGACGCTGGTGGGTATTCTGCCAGACACGCAACAAAACAGCAACAGCAAAAGCAGACACCCAAGAGAAAAAGCAAAAGATTCTGACAGCGGTGGGCAGTGAATCGAGCTTATAGTCCGAGAGGGGCTTATTGGGCACCGCTGCTTGTCTGGAATGGGCTAAACACACGATTGTTAGGTCACGCATTAAGACAGATTCTACCTAACCCTTAACCCTAACCCTAACCCCTAACCCTAACCCTAAACCTAACACTAACACTAACCCTTACCCTAACCCTAACCCTAACCTTACACCTATCTCTTGCTAATCCTAACCCTTGCTAATCCTAACCCTAACCCTAACCCTAACCCTAACCCTAACCCTAACCCTAACCCTAACCCTAACCCTAACCCTAACCCTAACCCTAACCCT